GAGGGGCCGGCGCCGAGGGCGGGAGCGCGGCGGTGCCGGCAGGATCGGCGAGCGCACAGCGCGGAGACTCCCCAGCGAGCAGCCGCGCGCCGCAGCCATGGTGGCCGGCATGCTCATGCCGCTGGACCAGCTGCGCGCCATCTACGAGGTGCTCTTCCGAGAGGGCGTGATGGTGGCCAAGAAGGACCTGCGGCCGCGCAGCCCGCACCCCCACGTGCCCGGCGCCACCAACCTGCAGGTCCTGCGGGCCATGGCCTCCCTGCGGGCGCGCGGGCTGGTGCGGGAGACCTTCGCCTGGCGCCACCTCTACTGGTACCTCACCGACGAGGGCGTCGTCCACCTGCGCCAGTACCTGCACCTGCCGCCGGAGATCGTGCCGGCCTCCCTGCAGCGCGTGCGCCGCCCGGTCGCCATGGCGACGCCTGCGCGCCGAGCCCAGCACGTGCAGGCCTTGCAGGGGCCCCTGGGCTGCCCCCCCAAGCGGGGCCCCCCGCTCGCGGCCGACCCTGCCCGTGAGGAGCGTCTTGGCTACCGCCGGAAGGAGCCGGAGGAGGGGACCCCGTTGCCCCCCGCGTCGCCCGCCCCCACCCCGGGGGCCCTGGCCAGGCCTGGCTCGGAGCTGGTACCACCCTCAGGTTAGCACGGCCGCGGGTGGGCACGGGGTGCAGGCGGCTCGCAGCCTGGGGTGCTGGGGCTGAGGCTCCTGGCTTGGGGAGGCCACAGGGACTCGGGCGCTGGGCCTCCGGGCCATCTCGGCGTGGCCGGCCTGGACTGGCAGGGACAGCTGGTGTGGCCCTGCCCGCCCAGCTCACGCGGCCATCCTGTGCCCTGCGCGCCTCGCCCCGTCTGGACGTGGCCTGTCTGTGCAGAGGGCCTCTGGGCAGAGGCCCGGGCAGCTGTTTGAGCCCCGTCTTCCGGGGCCATGTGGCTTGGGGGTGTCCGGGCCTGGCCGGCGCGGGGTTGGCCTAGGCAGGGGTAGCCCTGGGGGGAGCACGGACCCCGGGCAGCACATCCCAGAGGCCAGGCCAGGCCCAGCTGCGCCCAGGGGAGTCCTCCTGGCTCAGGCGGCCGGGCCTGTGGCGGCCAGGCCCTGCCCGTGTCCCGGCTCTGAGGCGTCCTGACTAGGGCTTTGCCACTTGCCGCAAGTGGACACTGCCTGGGGCTTGGCCCGAGGGCCGGCCTGGTTTTGGGGGGCTGCGGGGGGCCTGAGGTGAGGCCGGTGGGTGGTGGGAGCTGGCCAGGTGGGGGACCCAGGCCCAGTTCCCAAGCGCCGAGGGTGTCGGGGTTCCAGCCTGTCTGGGGGGCCTGCTGGCCACGCCCTCCGAGGATGAGTGTGTCAGGGCAGGGGCGGCCTCGGCCCTGGGCTGTGGCCAGTCCTGGCCTTCCCAGCCCCCTGGTGGGGGACAGTGTCTCCTGCCAGGGGTGCCTGGCCCTCCCCTGGCTGCCCCTTGTCTGGTGGGCGTGGCCAGGGCCCGCCCCTCCTGGCCGGTCACCCGGTGGCTGCCCTGGGTGTGGCTGTGGTGGGACCAGCCCTGAGGGGTGACTCAGTCTTCCTTCCCAGCCCCAGCCCGCGGCTCAGAGTTTCCAACAGGAAACGCCCGCTCCAGGCGGGCTGCCCGGGGCTGCCACCCCTGACCCACAGGCCAGGCCTGGCCTTTCTCACCGGAGACACCCTGCTGTCTGCTACGCACTGTACAGCCAGGGGCCCCTCTCCCCAGCTCCCCGGCTGGAGTCGCCTGCTCCTGCCATACCCCTAGGTCCGGCTGGGGGGGGCCGCAGAGCCAC